GATTAGAAGACTTAGTTAATGCATATTTAGAATTTCCCGCACTCATTTAACCAACAACTTCTTGCCTGACATGAACATTTTTCATAGGAACCATCAAGCTAAATAAATGTAGCGTGTTCCGCTCCTAAGATATAGATATGATGGAGAAGATTTGTAGCTCAGGTGGATGATTTTGATGTGGTTGTGCTCTCTGAGCTGGATACTTCAATTTGAAGAAGTATGCGCTGAAGATGTCGCCTAGTAGGGCGATGAAAGCTTCGCTAATAAACTATCTAGCTCAGAGAACACAACCACATCTAAACAAATGTAGCTCCTTCATATTTCACCACATCCTATTAAACTAACAGAAAACAGAATAGTTCAGATGAATGCTTATCACATTCATGAACAATCCCTATCCAGTCATTAATGCTTATCATCTTATAAGCATTTACACAATCTCCTGCAATTACAGGCGGCAAGTGTATAATTGGTTTACACTAGTATGGTTAAAAATCTTGATTAATATATTTATATACCATGTTCAAGGTATTGAGACCAATAACATTCCTGTTAAGATATATGGAGTAGACATTCGACTTCACAGAAGTTGAGCCATGTATTAATCTGCCACACCAGAGATTTTAAGGACTTTGTTAGCTTGGCTTCTTTTGTTGTAGTGAAGATAGACTTCAATATCTCCAAGCATTGGTAGACGCTATTTGCATACCAACACATTTAAACTAAATACACCATGTATTTGGTAGTTGGGACTACAAAAAATAAACAGCACATCGAGTATTTACGATAATGACTTCAGTGCTCAGAAAACACCACAACAAAACATTTGATGCAAACAGCTTACTTGAAACATGTTAAAGACCACTCTTTTTAAAGGTTTCCATGAATTATTAAATTCAGACGTTAACAATGCATGAAAAACTCGAGGCCAGCTACCGTTCAATCATAAAGTTAAGGACTAAAAATTATTATTATTCCCTTGGGTTCCTAGTGGAACATAGGGCTTCAACTGCACGTCTCCACTTGCTTCTGTCTTCTACTGTACTTTTCACTTGCATCCGTGTTATTCCATACTGTTTCAGCTCCTCTTCACACGATCTCCTCCATGTCATCCTTGGATGTCCCACTCGTCGCTTCCCTTTTGGGTTCCACTCGAGCTATGGCCTGACGCGCGATGTCACCCAGCGGCCTCCTCAGCGAATGTCTAATCCATCTCCACTTTCTTCTGCATATTTGTTAGGCGATTGGTTCTTGTTTTGTTTGTTCCCATAGACTAAAAATAGTTCTGTTTAATTCTCTCCAAGATTTCCAAAACGTTATTCAAAGAAGTAGCAGCTTTATGAGTGAAATTATCAGTAGAGTAACTTTAAATAGGATGCAGACTAATCCCAATATGCTTTGGTGTCCCCTTCCAGTGGAAGTTATTTGGAAAGTACATTAATTAAATAAATAAATAAATACGTGATGCTTGAAGTCAAACTAATCTAATAGGATAGAAAAATCATACATTTGTAAGGCAAATAACTTACAAATTTTACATGGAATATTATTAAGGTTACGAATTAACACCTTTGTGGAAATATTTCGCAGCTATAAAATGTGTTAATTTGTAAAATAAGACAAGTAGAAGTTAAATAAACACATTCGTGTGCTAAACAGCACGATATTTCTACACCATACTCCACTAACCTGCCAAGGTTGCAGTTGTGCTCATTGAACCAATATCAAAAAATGCGTAGTACTGAGGAGTTTCGTTGAAGCTCTTATGACGAAATAAACCAAAGTTTAGAGCCACAGCAGAATTATCGTTGATAAGCTGTAAAACATTCAAGCCAGCAATCTTAGCTGCATACATGAGACGACGTCTCTCGGCTTGACCAAAATAACTCGGTACAGTCAGCACGCAAGTTTTAATTTCAGAACCTAAAATAAAATGGAAGTTTCTAAATGTAAAGCATTGTGGTATTAAGAAGTAAATTTGGCAGTGCATCCAACATGCTAGCGGAAACTACTTCTGCCGTACCACCTGGTATTCGACAGATTTAATACTTGTAGATAATAAAGTCTTTACTAGATCAATCATACAATCTCAATATCATTACAATCAAAAAGATAGACAGCCTTAACAGATGCTAGTCAGGAAGACCAACAACTAAACGTTGTAAGAAATTACCGAGAACGACAGTGAACACTTCTAAAAGAAATCAGTGATGCTCTTCGTATCACAATAAAAATATTTAAAACAGCACACAATTACCAAACTAGACAGATAATCTTTCAAAGGAAAATAGAATGTTATTCAACAATCTCATGCATGTGTATACGCTTAATTTTCACTCTTATTTATGAGAGTTATTGATACCAGTCGGTTGTCTGAACTTAATTTCTTAGTTAGAACTCACTAACTCAGTGCTGGTCTATAAGCCACCTTTATTGTGTGAGGGATGATGATACTACCCTGTTGCCCAGGCTAAAATAAGCAGGGCGGAATGTGAAACCCGAACCCATTGATTGGGAGCCGACTCTAAACGTATAAGGGAGAGTAGTTCATTAGCCGAAAGTTGAACGCATAAATCAATAGGTTTTTGATAACTAAATAATACTATCTTGCGACCTTTTGAAGTCAGACACTCCCACAACATGCTCTGATTAGCAGTTAATCAATATAGTCATAGAAACTCCATTAGAGATATGATTTTATTTTGATAAATCACACAGTGCTGTACAGTAATATTTACTGATGACCACGTTTCGAGCACAAACTATTGCTCATAATCATATCAAGTCGCTCACACAACTTTCTTCCTTCATTTATATACATGAGTGGAAATGATTAGACATTCAAATAAAAATCGGTATAAGATAATGTACATTCAGAAACAATATCAGTGTTATCAATCAAGTACAATCAGATGGGAAATAAGATGTACATTATCTTATATTGACTTATATTCTAATGTTTAATCAATTCCACTCATGTATATAAATGAAGCAAGAAAGTTGCGTGTGACTTGATATGATTAAGAGCAATAGTTTGTGCTTGAAACGTCATCAGTTAATATTACTGTATAATACTGTGATTTATCAAAATAAATTCTTATTTATAATGGAGTTATACTCTACCACAGTGCCCAAGTTTTATACTTATATCAATAGTCATAGAAAAGCACTGACCAGCAATGTTTGTTTTTCCTTAAGATTCGACAGGTAACGATGTGATCTGTTAGGCTGGAAGGAACCTCGTTATCTCCAACCCTATATTTCTGCTCTTCAGAGTGATAATTTTTTAGGGACTAATAAACACGCAGGTTAAACTAAATGTTTACAGTTATTACATGTTTGTGACAAGTATTTTATTGGTCAAAAGTGATTTAAAAGTACTGCCTTTGCTGCTTATATCTGTTAGTAGATTAGTTTAATAAGCTTTATCCAAAAAGCACGTCTTGGCAGATATTCCTGTTAACTGCTAAAGTATCATCACAGATTTCCAGTATGTTGACAAAGTAACCTTTAATGTATTTGCAAGTACACGTCATCTCCCTTTCTACACACATTCACAATCAAATTAATAAAATGTGAAATTTTAAGAAGCTTAATTTCAGATACCAAATAATCCGAATTAAACAACTTTCACTTCAAATAATAGGATGATCGGATGTTATACTATAATTCCGTTTATGTTACAGATAAACATACCAGAATACTGTTCAGCATAATCATGCGCATATTCAAGAAGCATGCCAACCAGTTCATCAACCGAATATACTGTTCCATCCTTTTGAGTAAAAAATAACTGTCCGGTTGAGGTATCATAAGACAAATTGTGATAAGGATAACGCTCCTGAAAAACTTTCACCATGGGATGATTTAATGTCTTCCCCAGAAGAGATGGAACAGACTGGTATACACATTCAGGACATTTAGAAGCCTGTTAAATAAAGATTAATATGAATATACTAGCATTAACTTTAAACAGAAAAGAATACTAACAAACACAGAAACAAGTATATCTCAGAGCCCAAATATTATTTCAAAAAAGAACTCGACTCAAAGGTACACCAAGTTCCAAAGGCTATAAAATAAATTCACTGGAGTATTCTGGAGGTTTGGTATTCAACTTTATTTCCTAAACATATTAGCTGTCTGCTTTGAAGAAGAAAGCCGTTACAAAAATATATAAAGAGAAAAACGCATACAGTCATTTTATTTATGCCTTCAAGTTCCCAGTGGGACATGGGGCTTCAAGCTATAGCTCTGAATTTTCGGTAGCAGTAGTGTTTTTACGGGGTGGGGTGGCTAGCCTTACACCCGACCTTCTCTCCTAGTCTAGCTAAGGCAGTTAAAGGAGTGCACCGGCCGGGACTCGAACTCCGGACCGAATGCATAGTCTGCCAGAGCTCTACCGCCGAACCACCGACGCAGTCTGCATGAGGCTTGAATGCATCGCTGATAAGCCTATACATAGTATTGCTGTAACTGCTAATAAAGTCTGAAACTTTTCATACAGGAAACCTAATTCAATGAGTTAACTCGTAACATGCATGAACATAAACACAACTGATTTGACCTTTTTCCATTTCAAGCCAATAAAATGGGTGTTTATCACAGGTTTTTAAATAATGTTCTGAATTTTTTAATTGCCATTGTGAGTTATTTTAACGAGTAGCAACTTGAAGTAGTGCACTTCTATTAGAAGTTATGTATGCATCTGTTGAACTGCATGCAAATTTTGATATAATTAACTGCGAAGAACGAAATTCATGTGGTTTAAGTCCGTTACTACACGGGAACTGGTTTCGAAGTGCAGACCATCTGAATAGAATACACGTGAAGTTAGAGACCTACTGCCTGAGGAAAATCAGTGACTTTAAATTTTGACTGCCAAGTAAATTGTAGTGAAATCAATGCGGTACTTAGTATGAAATTATTATGACACTAGTGACTTAAGTTCAATTACATTTTAGTGAAAACGTAAATGAGCAAACGAATAACTATAATTCCAGTAGGTGTTCTTAAGCAACTAGGCGACTTCGTTAATGTACTAGACTGTGAATCACGCAATTTTATACAAATTTATAATTATTTTAAATTTTCCAAGTTAGATTATGTGAAGTCAGTTTAGGTATGAAGATAATAATTTGAAGCAGTGTTTACACCCATTGGCTTGGGTTCCCAACAAAGTGATAATGGTTAATGTACTATACATATACCTCACTGAATGATCAGATGGAGTTCTAAATAGAAGTATAGCAACCCGCTTACCAAATTAACTGCATGACTGGCAAAAACCCTTTCATTGTCTTTGAAACCGACCGCTGTAGATGTTTTTCGCTTAGAATCTCTGAGAAAATGTATGTATAAACACACGAACTTTGAACTTACGCGTTAAGAGCTATTTCCATAGGCATTCCTGGCTGAAACAGAATGAATAACTATTGACCAAGAAAAATAAACAAACCAAAACCACTGCAACTTTCATAAACTCAGTGCCCATATCAATTGACATCGATGATATAGCATCTTTGAGATTCAACTTTTAGAAACAAAAAACAAACCTATGCAAGTTAGGGACAAAGCTTGGAAAGCGACAACAGTCAGAATCAAGAGCATTCTTGACATTATCAGTTAGATACGTGTACTACAAAGTATCAAAGTACGCGCACCAACCTGTTTTGTGACTATTGGTCCAAAACTAGTCACCTAGACCTTTCAAATATTTAAACAATTAGTGGAATTTTCTTCGTTGAATGGCTCGAAATAACGTTTGGTTTCTACTGAGGAGTATAAATAGATCTTGAAAATTTGATTTTTAACGGAGTCATTATTTTATCCCAGTAGGACTCTTGCTGACCATGCACATGGTCCGGGGTTCGATCCCCTGCCAACACACACTTGATATCTATGGTCGGCCTACAAAATTTGGGCTACCGACATCACATGCTCAAAATTTCATATCTTCACCAAAAAAATACTGTGTGGAATAAAGCTGTATTCACAAAAATAAAATAAAAATATAATAAACTAACAGAACTGATGTTCAGCAAGAAAGTTGTCATGAGGCTACTCACCAGCCTCAGTTCAATAAGTTTGAAGACTAGACTGTAGCGGTATGCAATTCCCCAAAATCATTAGCCACAGCGCTCATCACTGAACACTGGATGCTGACGCTCACTGTTTAAGTCAACTTGTTTAGCTGAAGGCTTCCGGTCAAGTAAACACGGTATTTGACACACCGTCGTGTTACGTTCGTCAGTTTGTGCACGATTCCCAGCTAGTTAAGCAATCATCTCGCACTCTGATTCGGTCCTGAAATGTAATTCATAATGTGGACGATCAATTTTAGTATTTCACTTTCTGTTTGGTCTACGCGGAACGAATACTATAAAAGTTGTGAGAATTTGATCTTGAGTTAGTATATGTCGTACTATCCGTGATCGTCGACACACTCAGCCTCTAAAAGCTAATATAAACATGCGTAAAAAGCCGGGGATTGTGTGCCAAAGCTTTCTGAAAACAATGTAATGTGTTAACATTATGAAAAGCTTTATATCTAATCAGGATTTGTGTCACACTTTCAGGTACAGATATAGATTTTCGGTTAAGGATAGAAGGATTGAAGCCCGTCCTAATTCTTATCAAATAAGTATCTAATCCCCGCACAGAATAAATCAGGTGAGGGCGCGGACACACTTCTTCTACGAGTCATTTTCAAAAGTTTGTGACTCAGTGAGAGAACCAGTACTTCATTCTGATATAGTTCTTGCTGTAATCTTGAACTCTCCTGCCGCTTCTTCCGAGATATTGCGGTGTCGTGAGAAGGAAGAGAGAAAACAGATCGGGTTCATAATCATTTCTTAGGATTCTGAGCATAATGATTGCAATTATTCCATGCATACGGAATGATATGGAGGTAAATTAGCCATTCAGATTCAGATTATAAAGATAGAAGGCTCTTCTGGCCTGTGTTAATCCTTGCGAAATATATCTCTGCAGAGATCTAACTTCTCTTTGAAAGCGTTCACCAATGGAGCTGATACTACTGAATCAGGTAAGGAGTTCCAGTCGTTGACCACTCTGTGAGAGAATCTAAATTCTGCACATATTTTAATCGTCCTAGGTTTGAGCACCTTTATGCAGTGACTCCGAAAATGTATCCTAGAAGGGAGGAAAAGTTTAGAAAGGTCAGTTCTCAAATCACCCTTAAGCATACGGTATGCTAAAAGTAAGTCGCCTCTCTTCCTTCGGTATGATGACAGGAAGAGATTTAAATGCTCCATCCTCTTATCATAAGGAAAGTGTGAGATACTACTAATTTGGTTCCTACTCTCTGTACTCTTTCCAGGATATGTGCCTCCTTTTTGAAGCATGGACTCGCTGCTTGTATGCAGTATTCATCATCATACCCTCTGAACGCCTTCTAGAGGCTATACACCGTATTGTGAGTCGAGATTCAGCTGTGTGGACGCAATTTTGACCCCACTGAGATATATCTGTAGTGATGAACCCTTCATTGTTGATTCTACAACAGGTCTACACTGTCGCCCATTAGGATATAAAAATGCAAGCTATCACTGCGCAAGGGCAGTTTTTAGCTTGCGGCTCAATATTACATTTAGGTGCGTGTGCGTGTGAGCTGAGTGAGGAAGTAGCATATATATGTCGGACCGACACCAAGCCTCTGTTATCCTCAATAGTGACCATTCTATAAACCAGTCTAAAAGTTTGCTGTGATATACACGCAACGTAAGCTCTCTCCAAATTTTTAGATTATCTGCGAAGACGAACAAAGCAGATTTCATTAGCTGGTGATAAATTCTAGGGCTGCGAGGAAACTACGTTGCAGTACAAAAAAGTTACCTCCGACCAAGATGAAATTTTAGAAACGGTCTTAGTCACACGAGGGCTAACATGATTCAATTTAGCGAGACCTCGTAGAATCAACAACCAACTTATTTCCCTAAAATTCTTCTCTGGAAAACTCAATAACTACCATGATAACTGTTCAAAATATCAGAATAAAAATTCAGTTCACTGAAAGAATATTGTAACAATATATTGAAAAACTACAGTTAACCAGTTGTGGAAGTTAACGGTCACTTGAAATGCCGATAAATTCCCGTGCTACAAATTATTATTACCAATCACAGATCTGTTCCAATGCTTGAAGCGTGAAACTAATAGAGGTTGTATGCCATTTGTGGATTAATCTTGCGACGAGGATGAGGTGTTCCTGTAAGTTCCAAAGAATATAATGCGCGTATCTGTGGAGTTTGAAGGGAATAAGAACCAGTAAGAAAGCGAAGTGAAGGACAGCACAGCTGTGTTTCCTGCTGAATACCAAAGTGAAGTATTATTGACAAGGAAGTCGATTAAACAAAAATGATGTACAGTGTATCCATTTTCGTCACTTAGCAAAAACTATACAGATATATTATTTAGGACTCCATGACTTCATCTGTACCCTGATTCGCGATATACTTTATCCTGCAGTAGCCTTCGTCAATGATCATCGCGTATCATTGGGTTCTCCTAGTTTTATTTGTTTGTATAATACGACGCATTTCTTTGCTTTGAGGCAACTGAATCCACTCCATTTTTACAGCCAGAGATAAGCTGCTGGTGTTGAACTATCTGGAGTGATTTTCTAATACTATTTCCACATTTGCTGATCCTTTTCAACTGTGTTAGTACTTTTTATTAAGCTGGAGACTATGCAGGACTTCTTAATCCTGGAACTCGAATTAGAAAGTAGTTTCTTGGGTTTCACCGTGGCTTTCAGGCCTGTGAAGTCTTCGATGTGAGAAACGGGATTTAACACTGAACTTTACGCCTAGGTAGCTCATAAATCTACTGGTCTGTCTGCAAGATATAGCAGTGTTTGTGAACTTTTGAGATAGGCCATGAGATGAAGGTTTGGGTTACTTGGACGGACGCCACATGGAATTCAGGTTTAACATCTTGTAATGAGGCTGCGGAAGTAATGGCTTCCTAAGCCTTTATGTGAGTCAGATTTTATATTGCAGCAGCTGTGAACTTGAGCTTGAGCACAGAGTGATCACTTTTTACTAGGGATGGAAAAGTATCCTTACCTAAGTTGCCTAAGTGGCATAAGTTTCAGGACCAGTGCTGATCATCATGAGCGTAGGCTTCTTGACTTGCTGGGCCACAACCGGTAAGTGAAACATTCTATCGGCTTACCGTCAGAAGAAATGTTTGCGGATAGCGCCGTCAGTCAACTTATGTGGCTTTAAAAAATCGCTATCTACATGTTTCCATGTTAGTAGTGTACAAATAGGGCCAAAAGAAGTTAGTCAAACTGAACGCAATTGAAACGCACATGACCAGACTCGGGTGTTGCCATGCACTTCTTTTATGCCTGTTTGCACGCACAGTGCAAGGCCATATTCCAGCCAAATTAGCCAGACAATCCTAAAATCTTTTACCCAAAAATTCTTAACATTTATTCTACTTAAACACATTGCTCTTTAGAGCATATCCAAGAAACTTTCCGTTTATTTCCGCTCTGAATTCTGGGTTTCGGTACCAGTGTTCGTCCACTGACTCAGTTTTCACGCTTAAGAATGAAAGCAAAAATGTCCCTCAATCCCTTCCACTACTTCGAGATCGATTAGGATTCATTTACATCTAAGAATTTGACTTGGAGTGAAGGTCAGAAATGGAGGACGTATCAGTTCTGGAACGTTGGTCATTTAATATTGACCAGACTGTCAAACTTAAAAACACATTCGATACTACAACTCCTGTTATATTTCGGTTAACACCCTAGTAATCTTTGAAAAAGCACCACGTCGAAGGATTTCGAAGGGGGGAAGTTCTATATTTAATCAAGTTCTAGAAACTTTGAGCGTCATGTAGAGTTCATAGTTCTTAGAAATTGACAGTTGACACTGCAACTTGGAAAGCAAATAATTCCATTTACTGTAGTTGCTCCTATGAGCTTTTAGATGGCCTGAGTACTATATGTCAAGGTCGCTGCATCCCATCTACACTGATGCTCATTTTGAGAACTGCATCCGAGTCTACATATTCTGTTTCAAGTAAAGAGAAAAACTGGAGCAGAATGAGATATTCCATTTTCCCTTTGGAAAATGATAGAATAACTCAAATGTCTTTTCACTGTCGCATAGTTTTGGTTTTAGTAGTTAGCCACAACCAAAAAAACCTGAATATAAGAAGACTATAATGTTCACTTGCACCGAGCTTGACTTCGTTGTACCCACCTTCCCTTCACTGGCAGAGCTTAATCAGCCCAAATTACTGGACATCTGGCTAATTACTTGGATGAAATTTTAATACATGGAAATTTTGCTAATCGAATTCAAATTGCAGGCGAAAGATCCCCCAAAGTTTCCTATGAAATTAGAAAGAGTTCAAACTACAGTAATTCGCAAACAGGGGATCGTAAATTTTTCTCATAACTTAGTAAATGAAAAGATTTTATGCGAATAAGTGGTGTCCTTAAAATTTCTAGACGTTAATGTGCAATGCCAGACGGCCTTTTTCAGTATGAATGGGATATATTGCAGTGAAGAAGACGTGGTCGTGTAGAGTACATTTAAATGGAGCAGTGATTTTGCTGTAAGTTCAGTGGCCTTGAACTGCCTTTAAAAAATTGGATTAATGTACAGGTGTAAAATGTG